TTTAACAGACCGGGACAGGAAATCCGTTAAAAATTCATAACTTCTTCATCCGACGTCCGTTTTCGTCAGACTTTTTACCGTTGTGCTACTAATGACGAGACCTTCGATTCTCGTTTAGGTCGTGTCGGCTAAAAATCTCTCGATCTAAAATTCGAGTTTTTAGCTGTCTACTGCTAAGCTGAAACTTCAAAAAATCATAACTTCCTCATACGAAGTCAGATTTGGGCGTTCTTTTTATACCTACTCTCGGTTTAACGAACACTACGAGTTTCGTTTAGATCACTAAGGCTAAAAAGTAGTTTATCAAAAACTCACTTTTTACGACATTCGGCACCGTGCCGGTTTATCGTGAAACTTCGACAGGTCATAACTTCTTCGTTATAACTCGGATTTCGGCATTCTTTATATATCCGTAATCCTTGTCACGCCCATTACAAGTTTCTTAATAGATATCGGCTTTATCTAATATTTAATTTTGACGCTCATTTTTATTCTTAATTAATTAAACCCTAATAATTAAGCATAAAACACATAATTCACATAAAATTCACATAATTCCTTTTCATTTCTTCTAAATGAGTTACAAAGGTTAACCTAGACCATTATGTCAATATTAATGCCTAGCCTAGAAACACGGGCGTTACATTTCATCCTTGTTGGTGTACTCTATCAATGTCACATTTCCTTGTTCCAGCCTCAAGAATTCTTCCTCCAATTGCTTGATCGTCGTTCGAGGACAAAACATCTCTCTAAAGATTCTTGCACACTCATCCCATGGCATCCTATTGATTGTATCTAACACCCTAACTGATTTTACCCTCCCCATCGGTATAAAGCCTCATTTTTAAACATCGTCACGACATAAACCACATTGTCCTTATTTGCACACTTATCGGAATCAAATGTTTCCACTATCTCCATTATCCACGTTGATGATAAGATAGGATCAACGTCCCCGCGACACATTCGTGGTTTACAAGTCATGAACGTCTTGTAACAATTACCTCATCATTTGTCGTTTACATCTTTCCGTGATCGTAGTGCGACACTGGGGTCAGAAATTGAAATCGACATACCATATCCATAGCCTTCTTCTTCATCAACCTTGTTACCACCGTTCACATTCTATAGTGCATCTTGGTCCTGAACATTTACATTCGACAATGTAGCTTGCATATCCTGAGCAATCTTGTCAATTAATTATTCTCGAGTAACCATATTTGTTGCACGACCTTGTCCGCAATCTTGACCCCGACCACGACCTCGATTGGAGTTAGAGCTCAGTTTCACCAATTGTGCTCGTACCGGTGCTATGATGACTCATAGACCTCTTCCCCTAAACCTACCTCTACCTCGACCCTAACCGCGCCAACAACTGGAAGTAGGGTTTACGGGAGTCTCTAGTACTTCTTCGGGTGCAGAAACATCGGCTCCAAATTGGAATGTCTTCCCGCTCCAGTGTTACCTTAGTAAGCCTCCCTGATATCCTTGAGGACATGATGCCTACTAGTAAGATATGGTCTAAATTAGTTGCTAGGTCACCTCTCTCTCTCCTTCCGTCTAAGCTTAAGTGTTTACGGAAACACCTAATCTGCTTAAACAACGCTCTATTACCAACTTGTAACACCCCAATTTTCAAATATCGATTAAATGAAAAATAATCGTTCCAACATCTCCCAAGATCAATTATGAACTTACTTATAGACTAAACTACAGCGGAAGCAAAATAAATAAAATAAAACCTTCAATTGAACAACTACGGGTGTTACGTCTTTGCAGAACTCCTTTGTTGTCTTGTAGATAAATCGTTCTCCTTGGCCTTCCTACTTCCACTTGCTAAATAGTTTCCTGGGTTGCGTACATTTAAAGTTTCTAAATGGGTAAGCCTAGTGCCTAGTGAGTTCGTGTTGCACATACATGTCCATCACTTAAAAAACATATAGTTTTATCATATATCTTCAATAAATCATACAACAAATATATCACCCGATATCATAATTTAGGGGAACGATTAATTATCCAGAGAAAGAACCAAAGGTTCATTTCCCTTCTCCTTGAGACAACTCATCATCCATTGTACTCAAGTATTTTAAATATCTAAGGAAATGAGTATAATTCTCAATTCTCATCCCCGCCGATCACACACATCCGTCATGCTCGCAGCGATTAAACACCCCATCTGTTCCCACTAAACATGTCACCCAAAACAAACGCGCAATAGATAAACAACTCAAAATAACATTTGCACACAACCATACTTATCATAAAATATATTTCAAATAAATAATTGAAAACCCGCATATAAACCACATGATAAATATTTATGTGCGAGCAACCACAGAACACGAAAAACTCACTTCATTGACGTTAGTTTTTAACCGAGTCTTGTCACGTTACTTGCTCCCTACATTCCACCAATAAGTTTTCTAAGGCAACCATCTTAGGAAAACATCCTATGAGTTCATTTTGGTTCAACCATCATCATGTCTCATTCAACCGATTATTAACAATTATAATGTAATACTCTTCCAAAAATATTCAAAAAATAAGTACATAAATTAACTAATAACTCAAATCTGAAATATTTTATGGCACCTTTCGTTAAATTTATAAATAGTTTTGCATCTTAAAATACAAAGTTCGGGGCTAAATTAGAGATATATTAAATCTCTAATTTTAAATAATCAAAAAGTTATAAAATTCAGTGGCTAGACATGTAATTTTCGATATCTTTGAATTATAGCAAAAAATAAATAAAATTGAAAGTTTAGGGGCTTAAATGTATTTTGTAGTTACTTGGGAAAATGACACGTATTTGAGTTTGGAATCAGCTAAAAATATATTAAATTCACCATTCACATTGAAAAACAATTAGTTTTCACTTTTTGTAAAAGAAAACTTAATTGGTTTGACCCTTGACCCATTTACCCAAAATCAATTTCACAATACCCGAATTCATCTTCTTCTTTACCCGAGAAAACTTATTCTCTGGCATTTTTAAACTATTGAAGTTTCGACTTCACTTAAGATAATATTAATTAATTTTATAAAAATTACCACCATCTGTCTCCACCATTTACTAACAATTATCCATAAACAACTATCAATTTATGTTCCAAAACAGTGTGAATTCAAGCAATTATTTACAAAAACGTTTCTTAAAAATCATTGTCAACTTGCTACTGGTTAGATCGAATTGAGACAGGAGATTGAACCAAAATACGTATGGCATGAATATAATTCTATCTAAGCAACTGTATCAAGCTTAAATCGAATGAACATACCTTAATTCCTAAGAACAACTCCGAAAATCTTCACGAACTTCAAACCACGATTTCTATTTTGTTTCTCTAACCTTTCTTGCAATTTTTGTGGGCATTCCACTCTATTTCTCGTGCCTTTTATAATCCCCAAGTTTGTAACCTTTCTAGTTAACCCAAAAGTCCAAATTTATGGCTCTAATCAAAGTAATGAGTTTTGGAATTAAAATTCAATAATCTCTCTATTTAGTCCTAATTAAAGATCCATTATATTATTTTAATAATATAACCAAATTATATATATTTATACTTTTATTTTAATTTGAGTTATCATAGAAATTATTCATCGGATTTCAGATTTTTTCTTGAAATTCTTTTTTTTTTGTCCTGATTGTCCGTATATTATATTTTTTTGTCAGAAAAAGTCTTTTAATGTGGTATAAATTAAGTTAGTATGGAATAACCTATTATAAACAAAATGATAATTTTTCCAAACCACAGAAGACTCGGTTATTTTGAATAAATCCTCTTTCTCTCTATTGATTCGTTTTTTGTTTATATCCCTTTCAAATATATATTTCCGTCCATTTTAAATTAAGTGATACGATAATCTATAAAGTTATTGTAATAAAAGAAAATATGTAATTCATATTTTAAAGCTAATTTATAAAAATAGTGCTTTTTACAATTATATAGATTACCAAAAATAATATTCTAAAATGTAACAGATGATATAAGATTGAAAATGAAATATTATTCTTACCATCTTTTCTCTTTCTATTTTATCTTGAATAAATAAAATTGTGTTGAATATGGTCTTAGAAGCCTTTACCGCTATGTTTTTGGGCTGTTTCGCATTGGCATGGTCATTATAGCCCATGTAAAAGTGCTCCATAGTCTTTACATAATTATGGTATATTGAGCAAGAAAGAAAAGCCCAAAAGTCGCTTTAGCCCACTTTTTACACTATATATTTTAGTTGGACTTAATCATTTATTCATTTGATCAGACGAATAAGCCCAAATTAACTCGACTAGTTTTAGCTAGTTATGGGTTTTTGCTATTCTTTTCCCACTCAATAAGTACTATTCGTGTTTTTTTCTTATTTAATAATTTGAGAAATTAAATTGCATTCTATCTTTTATGTCTACAAATATTTCTATCCACTAACATTATGACACTTGTCATCATTCTACAATTCAGTTTAATTTAATTTTGATATATTCCTAATATATACTATTAATGAAATACAGAGTAGTTAAGTAAATATGGAATGATGACATGTGTTATAATATTAGTGGGTAGGAATATTTGTAGGCATAAAAGCGAGGAGGCAATTTAATTTTCCTTACAATTTTGTCAACAATTTATTATTAATCAACAACTTATTTACCTATTGTATTATTACTTTCTACCCTTATCCTAAAATGACCATATGGGGAGATATTATATCACCAAGAGTCCAAGACAACCAATATTTTCATGACTTTAAGAAAATAGCCACAGTCCCTGTGAACATATATCAACACGAACACGGTCGATAAAAATAACCTTTAATAAGTTTCCGTAGGTTTAATTTATTCTTCGCCAATGAATATTTTTTATGATGATTCAAGTTCATCACCTTAATAAAGCTCAATAATGGCTCGTGACACATTTTAATTTCCTTGCCAATATTAATGTTTTACTTGTTAGAGACACAATGATCAATCATACACGCATGAATAAAATGTACTTTCACATAACGAGTTAAACATATCGGGTTGTGAATCCGTTTTCATAGAAGTTCATTAACATTTAGAAATTAATTTACCATTGGTGGCTACAAAATTAAAGAAACAAAATACAAAGAAAAGGTAAACAAAGAAACATCAAAATTAAAGGGAATTTGCTTCATCTTTCGTGCACAAATTCGTCCCTTGTCAAGCATGATGATCGTGCTTGTGAGCTGAACCGTGTCCATGCCCATAGATGAATCTTGCTGCACCCTCTGTGTACACATGTGTACAAATATACAAGAAAATATGATATCTGTGTAATTGAATTAAAAAACTGACCACAATTAAAAAAAAAAAATTTAAAAGAAAAATCTATAGCTCTTACGATTTTCGAACTGCTTTGCTCAAGGTAGAAGCTGACACAAATGTTTTGCCATCAAGATATCTATTCTCGCCATTGATCCTTTGCTTCATTCTCAAATCCAATTCATCTGGACTCAGTGTGATCGGGTAATCTGATGCCTGTGGTCAAGTTTAATAGAAACATCATTAACTTAATTATATGGCAGAAAGATTACTACAAAGAAATTTAGCGAAAAATAGAAGCATATAGTAATTAAAATTACCATAACCCATCCCCAAATGTCAGCATAGGAAGGAATGTGAGCTGAGTATGGCACCACATCTGTTCACCATTTGTACCAAATTAATAAAATATAAAGAAGAAAGATGATGTTTAAAATAAAGTTAAAGCAATATTAACTGTCATGCATCAAAACTTACATTTAAAAACCTGCTTTAGAGTGTTGAAAATACAAGAGAAAACTTCTGTGTGGCTAAATACACCAGCTGGTCCAGCCTACAACAAATGTTAGATTATTATTTTAATAATCCTTCTTGTAATTATATTTAAATCCTTCAATGGGGTCTATCTACTAAGTGTTTTGTATATTTACCTGTGTGACAAAAATGCCACCCTCCATGAGTCGTGGTTTAACAGTGAGTTCATAGAAGGTCTTGGTGTAGAGTTGGTAACATGGGCCTCCTTCAAGGGGATCTGCCAAGTCTCCTATGATCACATCATATTTATCGTCTCTCTTTTCAAGTTCCACCCTACAAAGTAATTAAAACATAAATCATCAATCGTATTATAAATGTAAAAGGTTTATATATACGAACTTTTTATGGGATGAATTAAGCAAACGTATTCAACCTAGCGTCATTGATAATCAACTCGAGTCTTGGATCACCGAAAGCTTCACTGTTTACTGCCAAATAAGACTTGCAAAACTCCACCACTTCCTGCTCATATTGTAAGAGTTTTTGTTTTGAGTGCGTATATACATAATAAATGTGGTTAATTAATTTTACATAATCTTGTTACTTTGTTAGTAAGAGCAAAAGATGGAAACGAAGGGATGTCACCTCATCAATGTCACACATGACAACTTTGTTCACAGTCTTGTGTCTAAGTAGTTCCCTTGCAGTTGAACCCTCACCTCCACCCATAACAAATATGGTCTTCGGACTAAACAAATTATTCGATCAAATTACATATGATAACATAATTAAAAAAAAAAACTTCTGAATATGATTCCTATATAGAACTGGATAGAGAGTTGTACTTCGGGTGATGTAGAAGTGGTGGATGAACAAGAGATTCATGGTAGATGAACTCATCGATCTCTGCACTTTGCAACTTTCCATCGATAACTAGAGCCTGAGAAAATTAAATATATTTATATCGAAGAAGATTTTGTGTTTGGATTGGATGAAAAAAGAAATAAAGAAAAGTAAAAGTGGAGTATACTAAGTACCTTCCCGAAGGGTTTAGTGTCCAAAAGTTGAATGTCCTGGAACTGAGTGGCTCCTGTGTGTAGTATACTGCATAAGAATATCAAAAAGCAAAGTTAAACTCAATAGACTTTCTTCCAAATATTAAAATGAAGTTGAGCACCCATAAACGTATAAGCCTTTTTTATATATATTATATTATTTGACCAAAGAAAAAAAATAAAAAATCATAGGGGCCTGGGACCAGAATCTTGTTTGCCACTAATCTTTGTCTAGCTTTAACACATACAAAACCTTTTAGCAAAAAGGCCGAATAGAAACATGTTTAAGGTTTAGAAGTTTATAAATTAAATCAAACTGTTTAAAAAAAGAGCAAATGAAGATGGTATTGATCATAAAGTAGAATTAATAAAAAGATTAAGTAAAGAAACCTGTTGAGAGCAAAACACCATCTCAAGTTCTCTTCGATCTCTTCTTCATACCAGCAGCTTTTCCTCTGAGAATAGACATTAGTACCATTAGCATTTGAGCAAGAAATATCACCCATTTTCTTGAATTGTTATTAGAAAGGAATTGAAGAAGGGGATGTGGTGTTAGTTCTGAAGATGGAGACTTGGATTTATATAACAAGTTAAAGTGGGCGCAGTTGAGTTCAGACTGAGGAGTGGTGGTGATGCTGATGATATAAGTTGTTTGAAAGTGAAGGCAAAATCCTCATTGATTTCCCCAAAACCATCATACACTGGGATTTCGGAGCTTGATTTCCCCGCGTGCCTTCCCCCCTGCTTTATTTATTTATTACACACAAATCCAACTTCAAATTCTCCAATATATATATATATATATATATATATATATATATATATATATATATATAGGGCTAGGTTATTTTGTTTGTTACATTTATTGTGTGCTAGAATGCACCAATAGGAATTTAGTAAATTAAATAATTATTTAATTAAATAAATATAAATATTAAATGATTTCCATATATATATATATATATGTATATATATATATATATATATATATATATGTATATTAAATGATATCCATAATTGTAATTCTGTTTTTATGGAAACTAATTAAATCCGTCATTAAAGTCAGCAATAACATTCTTTCAGAATAAATTCGCATCTAGGTTTTTATATATGAGTTCGTATTTTGTTTCAGGACTCACTCACTTAAAATACAATAAAGTTGCATGGAATATGAAGAACGAGAGTGTATTCTAGTAGAATACACTCTCATTCTGCTGGAAGACACTCTCATTCTTCTAGATATGAATTCATTCTGAAAGAATATTATTTTTGACATTAATGAAGAATTTAATTAGTTTCCATAAAAATGAATTATAAGTATGGATAGCATTTAATATACATATAATTAATACTAAATTCTTATTGGTACATTCTAGCACACAATAGATGTGATAAACATTTGAACCTACCTCTATATATATATATATATATATATATATATATATATATATATATATATATATATATATATAATTTGTTAACAATTATTAATTTATTACAACATATCATATAATCATATAATATCATCATACTACATATAAAGAAGACATGTTTTGTATCAATATATTAATTTGAAGTTTCCATAACCTTTTAATTTTTAACTTAATGTAATTAATCTATTAATTTAAAATATGATACTAAATGAAAAATATTATCTTATTATTGATAGACATTTAAAATGATTATTATAGTACACTTATTTGTTAATTTAAGTATTATGTTAAAACCAAAACATAAATCAAAATATAAAATGAACTTAAAAACATATCATATCATATTATACTATAAATGTGACTTTTTTTCTATCACCATATTAATTTGAAACTTCTATGATCTTTCAACTTTTAACTTAATATAATTAATCTATTAATTTAAAATATGATATTAAATACAAAATATTATATTATTTTTGGTAGACTTTTAGATTAATTATTATAATACATTTATTTGTTAAATCGAATATTATGTTAAATCCAAAGCAAAATATAAAATAAACTTAAAAACATATTTATATACTATTTTTTATCATATTTAAAGGTTTAAGTATTATAATGTAGAACAACATGTCAAAGTACATAAAAGATACTAAAAACTATTTTATATTATAATTATTTTTTTCCAAATAATTGGTTTATAATAGTTAACAAAAAATAAAATGACATTGTGTTAACTTAAAAATAATGGTCTATATATCAATTAACCATCATGATCAAAATTAAAAAAATAAAAATAAATAGATAAGTAATTTCTAAATTAATCAATCATAACTTTAAATTGAAATACTAAATCAAAACCATGTTTACTTTTATTTAAACGCAGACCATAGTTAGATGTTATTGAATGATATAATTATGATATATGTATACTTTATAATACCGTTCAAAATAATTACAAATTTATATATCAACACGGTGTAAAAGTTATTTTTTTATAGTTATTATTTTCAATATGTATATGCAAACAATTTAACTATATAGTTTTATTTTGCGCAACGCCCAAATGTTCACCTAGTTTATGATATAATAGTCTACAACTTTTTACGATTTTATCATAATAATAATAATAATAATAATAATAATAATATTATTATTATTATTATTATTATTATGCACATGAGATGAAACGTTAATTTAACTTAATGCTTATTCCCTCTACCTGTGATGCATTATTAATTTGTATAAATGTAAATTACAAAATGTTGGACAACATAATAATAATTATAGCATTTGTTAATCAAATAAAAATTCATAATAAAACTATATAATATTGTACTGTAAATGAGACATTTTTCTATCACCATATTATTGAAAGTACCTTAACCTTTCAATTTTCAAATCTGTTATTTTAAAATATGATATTAAAAGCAAAATATTATCTTATTATTGGTATATTTTTAAAATGATTATTATAATATACTTATTTGTTAATTTGAATATTATGTTAAAACCAAACATAAATCAAAATATAAAATATACTTAAAAACATATCATATCATCATACTATACTATAAAGAAGATATTTTTTCTATCACCATATTAATTTAAAACTTCCATGACCTTTCAGTTTTCAACTTATAATTAATCTATTAATATAAAATATGATATTAAATGCAATTTATTATTGGTAAACTTCTAAAATGATTATTACACTTATTTGTTATTTTGAATATTATGTTAAATCCAAAGGATAAATCATCATATCATATCATATTATACTATACTATAAATGATACTTTTTTTTTATCCTTATATTAGTTTGAAACTTACACACGATCCTTTTAGTTTTTAACTTAATACAATTAATCTAGTAATTTAAAATATGATATTAAATGTAAACTATCATCTTATTATGGTAAACTTTTAAAATGATTATTACACTTATTTGTTAATTTGAATATTATCTTAAATGCAAATCATAAATTAAAATAAAAAATAAAGTTAAAAACATATTCATATACTGTTTTTCAAAATAGTTAAAAAGGTTTAAATATTAGAAAAAACTTCATAAATGGTTTCTGTAGTTTGACAAAATTTGAAGTTTCATCCCTAACTTTAAAAAAACTCATAGATGGTCGGTTTCAAGACTTTTAATGTTTAGTTCTTATGGCTCACTCCGTTAGTATTTGATCGTTAAGTGAAGGGCATTTACGTCATTTCACTACCTAATGACCATTTATGAAGTTTTGACTTATTTAAATAAATAAATAAAATACAACTATTTAATAAAAGGGTCTCTCTCTCACAGATAGTAAAGAAAAAGTAAAAAAAAAAAAAAAAAAAACTCACCCAATCCATCTTCCCTAACCCATTTTCTTCCCTCCACGTTTTCTACCTCAACTTTGTCCAAATTATACACTACAAATATCTTCTCTCTAAGTTTGTCCAGACAAGTAGTATGATTACAGTGAAAATCATTATTTCAGAAAAAAAAAGTAATAAAGAATAAATTGTGTGTAGGTTTCCTGGGTATGAATGGAAACAAAAAAAAGGAACCATTATGAATGCTTGGATGACATCTCAGAACCCATTATATATCAATCTAACTTGAATTCCATATATACAATTAGAAATTTCGCAAAACTAAGCGGAAATTTGAATCAAAGTTCTAATTCCAATTCTTAACTTTTATGGCATAATATTGAAATTAACGAAATGGGGTTCAATTCCATTACCAATTAACGGTTTTAAACACTAATTTAATTAAATGTTCAGGACAATTAAAGTTACCTTCAAGAACAGAACCAAAAACGATATTTCTACCATCAAGATCAGGGCAAGGACCAAGGGCCAGTCGTGATCCTGAACTCGACATTATGATAATTCGGATCAAGTTTAATACCATCATCATCATCATTTTCCGATAAGCATAACGATAAAAGTCACCCTTTGTGTGCCCTAACTTGAAAACCATAGGGTCGATACTCTCTTTATGTCTAACAAAACCTACCAGCGGCTTTACTTCTCCTTTATCCCTCCGTCCTTGATATCCCGTCATAAAAACCAACCAAGAAAGATCTTATGAATTAGCGGTCCTTTGTAGTAACCGGTGCACATGGATTTGAAATTGGAAACAGTGATGGGGACGAGGTTGGCGTAGAGGCCGAGGACGATGCTGCCGACGGGTTCAGTATCAGGACAGAGGGCGATATCTAATCCTAGGGTTCGGGTTTAGAAGTAGCTAGGGCAGATACTTAAGTCCATGAATACACAATCAATAATGGTGGTGTCAAGTTGTTTTTGTGGTGGTGAGGCTATAGAGAGGGAGGGAGAAAGAGCGATGGTGGTGATAGAGAAGAAGAGAAGAGAGCGGCAATGGAGTTGGAGTTTGGAGAGAGGGGAAGAAGGAGAAGGATAAGAAGGGAGCGTGGCGGAGGTAATGGTGGTTGTGGTTGAGCAACCCATGGTGATAACGTATTTATTGAGAGAGAGAGAGAGAGACTTTTATTAAATAGTTATATTTTATTTTTTTCTTTTTATTTTTTTAAGTAAGGCAAAACTATGGGTAGTGAAATTAAGGAAATGTCTTTCACGAACAAATACTGACGGAGTGAACCATAAAGATTAAACATTAAAAGTTTTGAAACCATATGGATCATCTGTGAGGTTTTTTTAAGTTAAGGATGAAACTTCGATTTTGTGAAACCACAGGGACCATTTATGAAGTTTTGTCTAAATACTATAATGTAGAACAAGTCAAATTAAATAAAAAGTATTTTATATTATAATTAATATTTTTTTCCAAATAAGTGATTTTAAAAAAAAAAATGACATTGTGTTAACTAAAAAACAATTGTTTATATATCAATTAACCATCATGATTGAAATTAAAAAAAAAACAATAGATAAATAATTTCTAAATTATTTATTAATCATAACTTTAAATTGAAATATTAAATCGAAAACCATGTTTTGTTTTATTTAAGCGGAGACCGCTTGTAGATGTTATTGAATGATATAATTATGATAAATGTGTATTTTATAATATCGTTCAAAATAATTAGAAATTTATATACCAAACATAGTGTAAGCGTTATTATATTATAGTTATTATTTTCAATATGTATATACAAAAAAATTAACTATATACTTTTATTTTGCGCAACGCACGAATTTATCTTTTTGCGTATTTTATATTCATTAAAGTTGGATGTTTGAAAAAAAAACCATTTTAACCCTTTTGCGTATTTCTGGTTCATTAACGCCCTTTCGTTTGGCAAAAATGTTCGTTTTATTTTTTTTCCTTGTTCATTAAAGCCTTTTAAGTTTAGCGGAAATGTTCAATTTAACCGGTTAAATCTGCAATAATAATAATAATAATAATAATAAATAAATAAATAGTGCAAATATATGTCGTTAATGAACCTAAAATACGCAAATAGGTAAATTTGTACATTTCTGCAAAACTTAAAAAACTTTATATCAATTGCCATATTTTTTATAAAATTTTAGGCGCTTATATGTCTTATTAAATATACTTGGGCACAATATATAGGTGATCCAACACATAACCAAGTTAAGCCTTAGGTCATCTGCAATGCTTGTCACGAACAACGCAACCACGAAGACCATCACGAAGCACGAACTGGTGGTGGTGTACTAGTGACCAGCACGAACGGAGAGAGAGGAAGAAGAAGAGGGCCGGCTGAGAGAGGCAACGTCTATGGTCCTTCGTCTTCCCCACCACGACCACGAAGGTATGGGCTGGTGTGCACGGACAACGCTCGTGGTCACGTAAACCACAAGCCCCTTCGTTGCCGGTATACCAAACGGACTTAGGGGGAGGGCACACCACAAAGTGCGGTTTGTGTCATGTGGCAATGTATGCCTACGATAACACTACACAATGGCCATTCGATTTTGCAAGGACACATACTCAAGAAACATATACACCACATTCTCTCTCTTCTCTTTTACTCCCTTCAATGGTCAATTTATTAAAAATAATAATTTTTTTACCATTCTATAAATATTAATCATTTTTTAACCTTTAATCTCATGTAATCTTCTATAATTTCTCTCGTTCTATTACTTTCCAAATCAAAATGGATCCCAACAACCGCACTCCACTATTTTGTAAAAAAAATCTCGTACTACTAGTTCAAGTACAAAATACAAACAATTTTTCTTTTGAAAAGGTCGTTATTGGCTTACCAACCCCAATTAGACGCCCCTATTTATTCACTCCTCCAATTTCAATTTCAAAAAATCAAACAATATTATCATATGCCTACCCCAACCATTACCCTGAACATGTTCATGAACTTCTCGACTTTTCTCAAATATGTTCCGCAAACCCAACCACCTCCCTCGCTGGAAGTTGAGTTCAAACCGAACCTAACCCCCACCCAAAGGCAAAGGGAAAAAAGGCAGCACCACAAATGTGGACTCCGGGGGAAGAATTAGTGTTGGTCTGTTTGTGGATCGAGACATATCCGAGGATGCGCGAACTGAAAATGTGCGAGCTACTGATCATTTTGGCTATGCATGACTGAACGCTTCTGCTTAGAAATGAGTCGTAGTGACTACCGTTCAAAACACCAATTGACAACAAAGTTTCGAGAGATGAACATTTCAATTACAAAGTTAAACGAGTTATACAATAACCAAAAAAACTCAAAAGAAAACTGGTCAAACCGATGAATATTTAAAAATTAAAAATTTTGAAATTTTTTAAATTTGGTTGTAGTATTTAAAAATTTAAAATTTTGAATTTTAAAAAATATTCCCTGTAAGCGCCAAGGACCGCTTAACCCGAGTTTGACTGATATTGACCAATTTCCGCCAAACACTCATAATCGTAATCAGTTGCAGACCGTCTAGCGCCGCCTAGGCCGTTATTTACAACACACACACACACATATATATATATATATATATATATATATATATATATATATATATATATATATATATATTAATTATTGATTATTGATGACGTAAAATTTAAAGTTTTTAAACCCAGAAATACGACATGCGTAGTCCGTAAAAATTAATAGAACTTTTAGGACATATCAAATCAAATAAAAGAATATACATATAAGGTTAGTGTATAAAGTGATTTAAGACATGGGTATATGGTGGTTGCATAAAACCGGACATAAGTTACCAATATTAGGCTTTGTATTGCTCCCTGGGGAAGCTGTGCAGAAGAAAATTTCTGAGAGAGAAGGAAAGGGCGTGCTATTGGAACCATCATTCAATATTCTTGTATGCAGGCGTGCTCATTATCACAATCACCATCGATACTTGTAAATCATTTCAGTCCCCACTCTCACGTAATTCTATTCATTTTTTAGCAGAGTTCAGTTTTGGTCCCTTTGGTTTATAACAATCTGCAATTTTAGTCTAGTTTTTAAATTTGTTGATATGGTTCATCCCTTTGGTTTTTAAAAGTTGCAAACATGGTCCCTAAGGCTAACTCCGTTAACTCTCATCCGTTAAACTCTTGTAAATAATCATTATTCCCTTATTCTTATAACATCCCAAAATCTCTGGTTAAATTTTTTATTTTTAAAATAATAAAAACATCCATTTTAACAAGGTTACATTCAGGGCAACTCATTTGTTCATAAACTGTTATTCAGAAATCAGAGTTATAATGAAAACAATGAGGAATCTCGAATCATAAAATTGTTGATGTATGTGTACAGTCTCGCCTTCGCAATTCGATAAGTACCTACAAAATATTTAATCTACAACTGTAAGCACAAAGCTTAGTGAGTTCCTCAAAATATCGCATACAACACCGCATAATAATCAGCTAAGGGTTATCAACAACCCTAGGACTACCAGCAGTCCTGAATATCACATACAACACAAAATATACAAAACTATGGGTTATCAGCAACCATGGGGACTATCAGCGGTCCTAGTGGGCTGATAACACTCCCTGTGGATTAACAAGACACCTCACGGGTTATCAGCAACCTTGGAGAATATCAACAGTCTCATGGACTCACAACAGTCAAGGAGTTATCATCAACTCGGTTCACATGTAAAAACAATCAACAAATAAGACCTAACTGGTTAACATGCATATACTATCACGCATGCAAGTATAGTGAGAAGACTCACCTCGCAGATAACAGCTAAACACAACAGCTCTCACACAGTGCAGATCGGTACTACGAGACACCTAACAACAGTAAGGAAGTACCTTCTCAGTCTACACCCTAAAACCCTTAAATTGACCAAAAGTCTACCCATGCCAAAAGTCAACAGTCAAGGTCAAAGTCAACAACCAAAATCACCAACAGTCGATATTCACGTCGTGACCAGCCCATGGTCACATCGTGGCGAAGAACTCAAACCCGATCCAAAACTCCATATTCGACTAACTCAACCGCGATCAAAACCATTGTCACGTCGTGATGGCCATGCCATCACGTCGTGACAAAGTCCATCCAAAATAATTGGGAAAAAATCCTCGTCGCGTCGTGACCCCAATATGGCCACGTCGTGACTACAACAAATTGGGACAACTTATGCATTCAGCCCTTAATCCTTTAAGCCATCCATTCCAACTTTCCAAAGGACCTTCTTAATCCAAAAACATTCTAAAATTGATGCTTTATAGACATACATGTCCAATGCATGTCTTGATCTCATATTAGGTCAAAATGATGAAAAGTGGAACCATAATCACAGGACTGTCTTCAAAACTTAGCCAAACTTCAGATCCATCATATATAACAATCAAGGGACCTCAAAGACCCATAAAGTTGCCAACTTTATGGAATCCTTCCATCCAAACGTCCACAACATGAAGGAAAAAAGGACAATAAGCCTAGATCTAGAAGCTAACAACATAAATTTTAGATCTTAAACACTGACGATGGTCCAGAAATGGCTCCAACACAAACTTCAAGCTTTCCAAGAGATTATCTACACCACAAGGCCTTCTACTTCCTTCCAATAGCACCAAAACACCAAGAATAAGCTCACAAATGAAGATGAGGGTATTAGGGTTTGCTTCCAGGTTCTAGAGGGTGATGGAGGTTGAAAATGAAGTCCTAAATCCAAGATTAGGGGTTTAAATACGAGGGAAACTCTAAAATATCATGGGCTTGGGCTGCAGCCATAGTCACGCCGTGACCATACTCATGTCACGTCATGACATCCTTCCAGATACGCATTCTTATCTTTGACACATCATGTCGTGGCCTCCTTATGGTTACGTCGTGACACATGTTTTTTTCCTAAAAACCATGCCTTTGACTCCTTTATGCCATACACAGATCCATTCTGGAAGACAGGTGTTACAGTTTTTTATCTTTCATGTTATTTTACTATTTTATATACTTGAGGGGCCATTTATGTTACTTACATTAAAAGGATAATAAAACCCACCGCTATTGTTGTTTCCCACACAACCGCCCACTCACTCGTCTCCACCCTCCATCCTTT